TCCTACATTAAAGGCCTTAACTCCAAACTTTTATATTTCCCATCCCCTATGTCCTAAGAGCTGTAAATAGATAGCAAATCACTACTTTGTCGCCAGGAGCAAACATTGTGGCCTCTGTTAAGTCCCGTGAGATTCTGGGCTCCATCTGAGATTTGGGAGTCAAGAAAGACCTTGATTGTATTTTCTGTTGTCTTTTGGTTGCAGTTTGTATTAAATTTTATCAACAAAAGTAGGAATTGTAAGAAAACACGCCTTCTGCTTTCATTGGATAACAGAAATACAAGCAGTCTTATGACCCTGGAAATCATAGTTGATTTGTTATTTTCCTCTGATCCAGTTCTGAAATATGTCTGAATTCTGCATTATGAATTCTCCATGAAGGATTTTCCCTTTCAGGAGCATTGATTTGAATTCAGGGCCTTTCTCTTAGCTTTGTTTGCTCAAGGCAGACAGTCTACCACTTGTGCCATACTTCTAACTTCTGGCTTTTTTGTTATTTAATTGGAGATAACAGTCTCACAGATTTGTCTGCTCTGACTGGCTTTGAACCTTGACTCTCAGATCTGAGTCTCCCGAGTAGCTAGGATTACTGGCACAAGCCAACAACATCAGGTAAGGCTTCCTTTTTCTTTTTTCTTTTGGCCAGTCCTGGGGCTTGAACTCAGGGCCTGGACACTGTCCCTGAGCTTCTTTTTGCTCAAGGCTAGCATTCTACCACTTAAGTCACAGTGCCACTTCTGGCTTTTTCTGTTTATGTGGTACAGAGGAATCGAACCCAGGGCTTCATGCATGCTTGAGGCAAGCACTCTACCACTAAGCCACACTCCCAGCCCTCAGGTAAGACTTCTAAGTTGGGGGGGGGGGGAAGGGGAGGGGGGACGGTAAAGAGGGTATTTCTGCAAAATGTTGAGGTGCGATGAGGGTAGGAAGAACGCTTGGCAAACTGTATTGTATTTTAGGATGTTCTAGCCTTGTACTGGTTTGGGAAACAATTTTCTGTGTTACTACTTGCTATGACAATCCTGCTTTGGATGAGGACTGTGACAGCTCAGTATTCCGATGATGCAATCACATTCTGTTGCTAGAGATACCTTTAGTCAACAGATACCACAGCCCTTCCCAACCACTTTGGTTCGTGATCTCTGGCTTCCTTGATCATTTGGTCCAAAGAAGGGGAAGAAAGGTGATTTCAAAAACTGGATGGCATGGCGGGTGTGACGGTAGATGCCTTCAAGGAGGTTGAAGAAGGAGGTTTGTGAGTTGGAGGCCAGCCATGGCTACTGATGGAGCTCTGTCTCCAAATAGGCAAAATTCAAACAGGAAATAGATAAGCGCACAACAAACTCGAATATATCTATAGGGTACAATTTAAGTGTTACGTCCAATCCAGGAAACTTTAAGGCCCTTTTGTACACTCTGGGACCATATATGCTGCTTTTCAATGGGGGTAGATTTGATCTTTCCCACATGCACTAACTCACTAAGCTGCCTAAATTAACCATCCCTGGATTTGAGAGCACCTAATCAACTTCACCACCCTCACTTTTCCAAGCTGATGGCTCAGTAGTCCCTGGCGAAGCTCTCTATTCGCTAAGCTCAGAAACCCCACTTCTCCAGAATATAATTTAGCTCTTTGCCCCTATTCATGCTGTTATTCTAAACTTCTGAATTATTCTCTCTCAAGCTTCATTTTCATCTGTCTTATGACAACATTGAAATAGACTCATTTCAAGATCCCTAAGGCCTGGTATCTTGTACATAAAATTCTCGAAGTTATTAAACAAAACACTAGGCTCTACTGTGAAGGAATTCAATAGTTAATGTATTTTGTGACACTAACAATACTGAAGACCTCTTTTTGTTTTTGCCGGTCCTGGGGCTTGAATTCAGGACCTGGGCACTGTCCCTGAGCTTCTTTTGTGCAAGGCTAGCACTCTACCACTTGAGCCATAGCGCCACTTCCAGGTTTTTCTGTGTGTATGATACTGAGAAATTGAATTCAAGGATTCATGCATGGTAGGCAAGTACTCTACCACTATGCCACTTTCCTAGCCCTCACATCTGTGATTTATATATCCACTCAGTCCATTTAGCAGATTTAAATAAGTTTCTAAATGAGATGATTTTAAGAGAGGGAAGTTAGCCACACTGGGTCTGGTCAGATAAAACTTTCAAGCAGACTGAATTTTCCTTGAGATTCAAATTGTGGGAATTCAATGTGAGAGAAATTCTCTGTTGCCAACTTTGAAGATGGTCACCAGGCAAAAGATGTAGGTGATCTCTCTGAGAGAGAAGTGGTTCCCAATTTGGCAGCTAGCACTGAAACAGAGACCTCAGTCCTAGAACTGCACAGAACAGGACTTTCTCTACAACTTGTGCTAATTTAAGTGATGATAAGAAAACCATGGCATTTGCTTTTACAGATCCTGTTTTTGCTAATTTCACCTGTCTACTTAGTAGATGACAAGTTTCTAGATGCGAAGAAAAAGCTTTTTAAAATATCTTTTTGTATCCCCATCTCACCATAGACATGATTTAATGTTATTAGGGAGATTGAACTGATATGTGGGAGTTAATGCAAGATATAAATCATTGGCCATAAAACTACTGGTTGCTAGGAAACAACAGGTGTAAACAAATTCCTGCCTCCAGTGTACATAAATTCATGCGTATCTGAAGACTGCTAAACATCTTCATTCAAGTAGATGTCTTATCTGTACTATCAACTCAGGAAGTATCACAAAAATTTTTTTGGTTCTGATCCTGGAGGCTTGAACACAGGACTTGGGTGCTGTCTAAACTTTTTTGCTCAAGGCTAGTACTCTACCACTTGAGTCACACTTCCACTTCTGGCTTATTTTATTTATTTTTTGGGTACTTAATTGGAGATAAGAATCTCACATACCTTTCTACCTAGGCTGGTTTCAAACCATCATCCTCAGGCCTCAGCCTCCTAAGTAGCTATGCTTACCAGGCATGAGCCACAACCTGGCCCCACTTAAAATTGTTTCTCGTCTGTAATCGGAGCTATCAGGAGGCTGAGAGAGGCTGAGATTTGAGGATTGTAGTTCAAAGCCAGCCTGGGCAGGAAGAGTCTATGAGACTTTTCAAGTGGTAGAGTGCTAGCACCCAAGTCCTAAGTTCCAGCACCAGTACTGGCACATACACACATACACACAGAGACACACATACAATGTTTCTCAAAGTTTCCCATCACACTCTGTCCCCTACTTTCTTTTTTTTTTTGGTCAGTTGTGGGGCTTTAACTCCAGATCTGGGTGCTGTCCCTGAGCTCTTTTGCTCAAGGTTAGCACTCTATCACTTTGAGCCACAGCTCCACTACCAGTTTTCTGGTGGTTAATTGGAGATAAGAGTCTCAAAGACTATCTTGTCCTGACTGGCTTATGGACCTCGATCCTCAGATCTCAGCCTCCTGAGTAGCTAGTGTGAGCCACTAGTGCCCCACTTCTATCCCTTAATTTCAAATTCCCATTTACCTTAGGGCTTAGAGCTCCACTCATTGCTAACTCCTTTCATTCTCTTTTCCCCATGTTCAATGGGTTGCCAAGTCTTCCTCATTTGCCCCTTCCCCTACTTTTCTGGCATTGCCCAGTGTAGTATCTATCTCTCACACAGAATCTCCTAGCCTTTCTCCTAGGAGCAATCTCTGATTAATGCTGTTCTCATGATGTTACTTCTCTGCTGAAATGCCTTCGAAGGAATCCATTAGCTTGGCATTGAAGAATCTCCAGGACTTCAGTCAAACCTACATTTCTCATAATTTCTGCAATTTTTAAATGCATATTTTGCCTACCTGGTAGGTTATTTTTGCTTGGTCTTGAAGATTATTTCTTTCAAACTGTTATTGCTTTTGCAGGTCCACGTACTAATCGTGACTTTTCCTGCAATTTCAACTTTTCCACGTGCATCTTACTTTTATTTGATCTACTGTCCTTCCAATTGTGTGCAGTTGGATACTCTCATACCTTGAACTCTTTGGAGCCACTTGGCTTGTTGAACTGCCAAAGGGAAATGTGGTTCCAGAGTCAAATTGTGAGTGCCTAGAGATTTTTTTTAAACTATTCTGTTTGCATGAAGCTGTTACTGTCTCCCCCAGGACACCCAACACCATTTTATTCCATTTTTGGGGTGATTACTGGCCTAAATGTTGCAATGGAAATCCTCACATTCATTCCATGGGAAAGGGACCCAGAGCCTCTTTCATAGTCAAGGCTTATTTCCTTTTTGGCTTTTACATAATTTTAGCCACTTTCTCTCTCACACACACACTCCCATTCCAACAGAGTTCCTGCTGTTGGAAAACAGGTTTGGTTAGACCCACTCCTTCTTCTATTCACTTTTACTTCCAACCTTCTCTTTTTCCCTTCCGTCTGTCACCCCATTTTAATAAAAAATAATCTGGTCTTCAAAGGAAAAAGAAAGAAGAATAGCTGGGTATGGTGGTGCACACCTGTCATCCCAGCAGGAAGATGGTGAGTTTGAGGCCAGCCTGCCTGAACAAATTCCTCCCTCCAAAAACAAGTCTGTCTCTCAATTTCTATCTCTGTCTCTCCTACTAGCTCTGTCTTCTTGTCTCTCTCTCACACACACACAAACATATACAGAGACACACACAGACACACAGACACACAGACACACACACACACACACACACACACACACACTCAAAAAAAAAAAAAAACAAAAGGAAAAGGAGGGGGAGCGGGAAAGTTCCCAGGGTTCCTGTTAGTATTGCCGAGTGCAAAAGGAGCCTTTTCCCTCGCTAATTTCTTGTGAATTAGAGGCTTTCCCTTTTCTCAGGCTTATTGGTCACCCCTGGACCATCCCCAGAGCGACTCCCAGCCTCCTTTGCTAGAATTTAATGACATAAGCAACTTATGCCCCCCCCCCCGCCTTGGTGTTGGTACGGCCTGTCCGGAGAGAGGCGTTTCACACACCCCTCCCTTTCCTTTCAGTTTGGTTCAGCCCCCGTCTACTCGGGGGTGGTGCTTAGCCGGCGCCAGACCGACCCTAGGCTTCGGCGAGGCAGTGCGGTTCCGCTGGGCGCTGCCGCACTACCTCAAGCTCCTGCTCCGACTCCGGCTGGGGCTGCTTCCTCCGAGTCCCGATCTCTCGGTGTATGTTCCACATCTGACCGGACAAGAGATATGTCTACCCCGGCCCGGCGCCGTCTTATGAGAGACTTCAAAAGGTAAAACAGGCAGGGACACTGGAGGCGGGGGGCTGCGTGCAGGGGTGCAGGGCGGGTCCGGGAGAGGCGGAGTGTGGGTTGGGGTAGACCAGCCGAGAACTGAGGCGACTTGGGGGGCGATCGTTGTCTGTCTCTCTGAAGGTTGCAAGAAGATCCTCCAGCTGGAGTGAGCGGTGCTCCTTCTGAGAACAACATAATGGTCTGGAACGCGGTCATTTTTGGGTGAGTCTGCGTTCCGGGCTCTTACCTAGAAATGGGGGTCACCAGGCGTCTCGCATGGTATCCCCGGGCAGGCCCTGAGCGCAGACTTAGGGTGAACGGGGGAAAAATTGTTTGGGTTTGGCTGGGCCTAGGCGCTTCCCCGGAGCCTATGCCTCGATTTAGCTCAGATCCCGCTGCCAGGGGAAATCATTTGGGGGTTCGAGGGGGGCGGGGTAGGGGAGTAGTGCTGGTGGGTGGGGTGGTGGCCTGTGCTGTGTTTCTAGGACTCCCCCCCTCCCCGCCATAACTGGACTTAGTAGCTTGGCCCTGCGTAGCGACACTTGATCAGGGGGATACGGGATGGCACCCTGAGAGTAGCCAGCCATCTCCTAAAAGGTGAAGTGAGGAGAGGGGAGCCCCCCTAGCCCAAGCGAGAACTGACTTGATTTTTCTCTATGTTGCAGGCCTGAAGGGACTCCATTTGAAGATGGTAAGAGAGAGTTTCTTTACCCTGCTTTCAGGACTCTTGATCATATGGGGAAGGGGTGGGGATCCCGAATCACCCTGCAAGCACCTTCCTGCTTAGAAACCTGCTGTGCCTTAGCCTCTGCCTTCCAAAAGCTTGAGTGGAAGTCCAGTGTGTGGCAGGTGCTCTAGATGTTGTCTACTGACTAGAAATGGACCTTTTGTTTTTCTTCATCTTGTTTTTTTCTGCCTTTCACTTAGTTTTTTAACATACTCTGGTAAAGGCAGACACTATTGGAAAAACAGGACTGTTTGAAACTGGTTCTAAGGGGTTTTGAGGTTTGGGGCTGGGATTTTGCTACATTCAGTCTCCCCTACTGTGATTCTGACTTAGTGTGAAACTAACCAGTTGCTGAAAGAAGGATCCCAGGGACCATCTGCTTCAGAATTCTATCCCAAGGGCAGGAAGTGGTCAGCAGGTGCCTTGGTGTGTGGGTGTGTGGGAGTGTTCAGTGCCGAGTGCCTGTGGAAGTCCCATACACACAACTAACTGCTTTCTATAATCAGACATTGCCTGCCTGTCAACCTCATTTCTCCCAGATGTTCTTAGCTGTAAACACTGGCTGTAATTTTGTTGCATTTTGTTCTTTTTTGGCGCCAGCCCTGAAGCTTGAAATTGGGGCTGTGAGCCCTGACCTTTTTAAAACCTCAAAGCTAGCATTCTGCCACTTGAGCCATAGCTCCACTTCTGGCTTTGTGTGTGTGTATATGTGTGTTTAATTGGATATAAGAATCTCAAAAACTTTCTGCCTGGGCTGGCTTCAAACCACAATCAGTCCTCACTCAGATCTCAACCTCCTGAGGAGCTAGGATTACTGGCTTGAGCCACTGGTGTGTGGCTGGCTTAAATTTTTAAAGCACATAATCTCAGTTGCTCTTTTTTTTTTTTGGCCAGTTCTAGGGCTTGAACTCAGGGCCTAGACAGTGTTCCTGAGCTTCTTTTTCTCAGGGTTAGCACCCTGATCCACACAGTGCCACGTTTGGCCTTTTCTGTTTATGTGGTACTGAGGAAACAAACCCAGGACTTCAGGCATGCTTGAGGCAAGCACTCTACCACTAAGCCACATTCCCACCCCTCAGTTGCTCTTTAAAAACTTTGTTTTGAATTTATCTCAAAACTTCACAGGTTTATGTTCAGTTTCAGCAAATAGAACACATACTGTGTCCCCTTCACCTAACTCTTTCCCTCACATACCTTTCCCAGTTTCGTGGAAATGTCACAAGAAAATTGACATAGACAATTGAATTTTGCATCCACTCAATTTTGTGTGTGTGTTTAGCTACTGTCTCTTGAAAGTTTGGTACATTAAGAAGGTTTAAAAAGTGAGTTTATGAAATTCTTTAAATTTGAACTAGTTAAAAAGAAAACCTGAATTTTTTCTCGATTATTTATCTTTCTTTGGTATAGCATTTTGGATGCACAAACATGCACACACTCACACTCACATACACCAGTTTGAAGGTGAAAAAACATTTCTACAGACTACTTACTATTACTTAATGTTCCTGAGTTGGATTGCTTTTTGGTGGTTCCAGTCCCCAAAATGCTGTGAGGTAAGTCAAGATCTATAATTCGTCTCAGGTACTCAGATTTCCTTAGCAAACTGTGGTCAGTTAGCCCAGTACTTTTAGCTTCCTTTCTGCTTTACCTCCTGGCTAGATTATGCTTTTCAGTGCTGCAAGAAATGACAGGAAAGTGATTGCTTTGGTGCTGTTAACCATTTAAATTGGACCTGTAGCAGGAAATACCTAGGCTTAACTTTTTCTCCATTCCATTGGGGTGAATTCTTTGTACCTAAGCTTTATGTGCAGATTAATTGTATTTGCTTTAGTTCCAATAGGCTTTTGTTTTCACTGGCTTCTTTTTTTTTTCTTATTTTACTTGGACTGTTTTATGTTAGGCACAGCATTATTAATAGCACATCACTTTACTGGAGGTTGGCTACTAAAAATTTCAAGGGTGCTTCTCTTGATTTAAGTGGTATGAATTGGAAAGGTGCTTATGGAATCCATTATCTGCCTGGACATGTCCCCTTTGACATAACTGGCTCTATTTTTTTGTGGTGAATATCTCCATCTTGGCATTACTGAGAGGCATAGGTCAAATGACAGTACTCTTATTTGGTTCATGTTATTAAATAGTCTGCTATTAGCCATGGGTGCTTCCTCAGGTGTCTAGGACTCCTATTGGGGCTACAAAAATAGATTTGACCATTTGAGTGTGTGCTGGTTCTAGGGCTTGAACTTACAGCCTGGGTACTGTCCCTGTCACTTGAGCCACAGCTCCACTTCTGGGTTTTTGGTGGTTAATTGAAGATAAGAGTCTCATGGACTTCCCTGCCTAAGCTGGCTTCAAATCACACAAACTCCTAAGTAGCTAGGATTACAGGCTTGAGTCACTGACTCCCACCTTTTTAAAAAATTTTTTGTATGTGTGTATGGTGGTCCTGGGGCTTGCACTCGGGGCCAGAGCGCTGTCCTTGAGATTTTTTTTTTTCCAGTCCTGAGGCTTGAACTCTGCCTGTGCTTTTTGCTCAAGGTTAGTGCTCTACCACTTGAGCCACAGCTCCACTTCCAGCTTTTTGTGATTAATTGGAGATAAGAGTCTCACAGAATTTTCTGCCAGAGCTGGCTTTGAACTGCGCTTCTAAGATCTTAGCCTCCTGAGTAGCTAGGATTATAAGCATGAGCCACTGGCACCTGGCTCCAAGCTTCCTTTGTTTCTGTAATTGGTAGGCCCCAATTAAAGAGAAGAATATTAAGAAGAGGATTTTTTAACAATATATTAATTGTACTGGAGGTTTCACTATGACAATTCACATGTGTATGTTATTTTTTTGGCCATTCTTCTCACAACTTAGTTTGAAAAATAAGTGATTTTTATAGTAATGTTATTTGTTAAGATGTTGTAGATGTCCTACTTTTTATTTTAATATATTTCATTGTTATTTTAAAGGTGATACACAAAGGGATTACAATTACATGAGTCAAGTTATGTTATGTTTTAATGAGAATAACTCTTTCTATTGCTCTCTCTTTCCCTGAAGGAAAGGGATTTGTAAAGGTAATTTGATTTGACTTCACACACTTGAAATCAGAGGAATTTTCTGGACAGTTTATACTTCGTTAAAATAATGTGTGGTAATTACAAAGGTTATGGAATTTATATCTAAAATTGTTAATAATCAGGGGAATGTACTGTTGCTTGCTTTTCATAAAGGTAGACTTCTTGAGGATGTAAATCTTTTCTTGTTAAAATGAATCCCTTAAAATTCACTGAGGGTGGGGCTGGGAAGTTGGCTCAGTGGTAGAGCGCTTGCCTTGCATGCTCGAGGCCCTGGGTTTGATTCCCCAGCATCACATAAGCAAAAAGAAAAAAGCCGGAAGTGGCACTGTGGCTCAAGTGGTAGAGTGCTAGCCTTGAGCTGAAGAGCTGAGGGACAGCGCCCAGGCCCAGAGTTCAGGCCCTACGACCGGACCCCCCCAAAAAAAATTCACTGAGGGTGTTCTCAAAATAATTAAATCCTATGATGGAAAGTTTGAGGCATTATCTTAAGACTTAGAATTTTCAGTCATCAAATTTATTTTAGAGTATAAGTAGTTTGCTTTCTTTTCAGCAGTCACAAAGTAGTCAAATGGCAGAAAAACACCTGCTGAGGGACTTTCTTTGAATAAGTATTTTCAAAAATTTGTATTTTTCTATCTTTTGGCAGAACATGCACTTTTTTTTTTTTTTTGGTGGGGCTTGAACTCTGGGCTTGGGCGCTGTCCCAGTGCTCTACTGCTTGAGCCACAGCACCGCTTCCAAGAACATGTACTTTTTTTTTTTTTTGCCGGTCCTGGGGCTTTGAACTCAGGGCCTGGGCTCTCTGTTCCTGAGCTTAAGGCTAGCACTCTACCAGTTGAGCCACAGCACTATTCCCAGCTTTTTTGTGTGGTACTGAGGAATCAAACCCAGGGCTTCATGTATACTAGGCAAGCATTCTACCACGAGGCCACATTCCCAGCCCCCACACACTTAGTTTTCAATACTAAGGATTGAACTCAGTCAGCCTCATGTTTGCTAGTCAAGTGCCCTACCTCTTGTGCTATGCCCTCAGCCCAGAATATATGTTTTTATTTGTTTATTTAGGTTGTGAGGCTTGAACTCAAGGTTGAGGCACTGTCCCTGAGCCTCTTTGTACTAAAGGGTAGTGCTCTAGCACTTGAGCCACACGCCACTTCTGGTTTTTGAGTGGTTAATTGGAGATAAGAGTTTCAGAGACTTTTCTGCCTGGGCTAGCTTTGAACTGTAATCCTCAGATTTCAGCTTCCTGAGTAGCTAGGATTACAGGTATGAGCCACAGGCAGCGCCCAGCACATATATTCTTTAGTTTAACCATATCAGTCCTTATTGCCATGTATGAGCCATTTGATGCATAATTTTCTTGGTCTCCAGTATGTATACAGATGGATCCGTTTTCCTTACAATGTTTGGGCCTCCTTAGGAAGATGAATAAAATCAATAGAGATGATGTATAATAATTGTGAGGATTAAACTTGGGAGTTATTCTAGAACCTAGCCTCTTAAATATTCTGAGGGTAAGCTCTAGTCTGAGATTGTGTATAGTCTATGATTTTAATGATCTTAATATTTGTTTAGCTCTCCAAAATTGCATTGAGTGTTCTGTTGAGGTCCTGATTTATGTGTCTGAAAGTATAGAATACCTTTTTAGTGTATTTATTGAATAAGATTTGGGTCTTTACCTGCTTTACTTTTCAAGATAGTAAAAGCTATTTAAATGCTTTTTCTTTGCGGGGGTGGGGAGTTTGTCATGGGGCTTGAACTCAGGGCTGTCCCTAAACATCTTTGTACTCAAGGCTAGCGCTCTACCACTTGAGCCACAGCTCCACTTCTGGCATTTTGTGCTTAATGGGAGATATCTTTCAGATTTTTTTTCCTGCCCCAGCTGGCTTTGAACTGTAATCCTCAGAATTTAGCTTCCTAAGACCTAAGATTACAGGCATGAGCCACTGGCACCTGGCAGTGGGCTTTTTTTTTTTTTTTTTTTTTTTACCATTTTAACCTCGTTTTACATGAAGAACTTGAGGTTTTAGTCAGATTGAGTGCTTTTTCCCCTTCACCTCAGGTTTCCCAGCTAGTAACCAGAGTAAGGATTTCAACCCAGATCTGACTGCAAAGATTTTGCTCTTGCCAACTCTGCTCTAGTCTTGTTTTTGCTTCCTTATGTAGTACTTCACCACCTTTAGATACCATATTTAATAATGATGGGGTTAAAAGATCTCTGTAGTCTGCTTTGGGGGGACAATACTGGGGTTCAAACTCAGGCCCTTGCACTTTCTAGGCAGGTGCCCTACCACTGAGCCATGCCTTCAACTCTGTATGTGCTATTAAACCTGCCCAGTTTTAGAGCAATTACTTGGCGTTTAATCCCTTACCTGTAATTTAATAAGATTTCAGTATTGATCCCATTATATATACACACTTGAGATACATAAGGAAGCTTCAAGTGTTCAACTGTCTACCATTCCTTCTTTCTTGCATGGTATAAAGTGAATAACTCTGAAAGGAAGAACTGCACATTCTTCCTCAAAAACCAGGACGATTTAGATGGTAATAAAGGTGAAGTATATTTGGTGTTCTCCAGGCTTGAACTGAAGGCTTGGGTGGAGCACTGTCCCTGAACTTCTTTTGCTCAAGGCTAACGCTTTGATCACTTGACCCACGGTGCCACGTCTAGCATTTTCTGAGTTTTTTTTTTTTTTTTCTTTTGGAGATAAGACTCTTACAGACATTCCTGCCTGGGCTGACTTTGAACTGCAATCCCCAGATCTCAGCCTCCTGAGTAGATAGGATTACAGATGTATGCTACTGTGTTCCACCATTCCATACTCTTGGGAAATACAACATGCCTCTATGTGTTGGCATATTTTGTGGTGCTGAGAATGGAATCCAGGACCTCCCACAGCTAAGCAGGTGCTTTATCATAGCACAGAAACTCCCCCTATACCCCACTGTGATATGACCTTTTAAAGTCATTCTCAAATTTTGTAACACCTACTCATACCAAGGGCCACTTACAGTGAGTTCCTTCCTGTGAGTGGTTGTAGTAAACATACTTTGGTATTGTTACATAACAGATGTAGACATTGAAGAATGATGGTATTCTTCTTTTCTTCCCCAGTAATAAACCTCTTCATGGGACTAAGGCAGAACTAAATCACCAACTCTGCATTAGTAATAAATTATACTCTAGCTGAAGGATGGTCTGTTGTATTACAATGAGTAATTTATTAAATGCACCAGGGAAATAGAATGTGCATTGCCTTATATCAGATAGCAACTGATTTCATCTCATTTACTTAATTTCTCAGTGAGGGGGAAAAAGTCTCCCAATTGTATTTTTGATTTATTTGACAATTTAAAACATTTTGAAAGGCAAGATTGCCCTCAGATAACAACATCCTATAACTCTTGAGTAAAATGCAGATTGTCTATTACCTGCTGTGCTTTCAGGTCTCCTGCCCCCTTAGGTTGATCCATGTTGAAGGAGAATAATTTCAGTAGCACTATCCTAAACAGATCTCATTAGAAAGATAATTTTGTGGCCTCTATTAATATAGTATAACCAAATGTGATTTTTAAGTCATTTCTATGATTTCCCTCCCTTAATGTGACAAAGTTGACTTAATAGTGTTTTCATTAGTCACTATTTTATGAAAGTGAACCAGTGAACAATTTTTATACTTACTCCTATCTTAAAAATAACTTGAGCCATGCACAGGTGGCTCACACCTGTAATACTAAGCTACTCAGGACATTAAGGATAAAAGTATCACAGTTCAAAGCCAGCCTGGTCAGGAAAGCCCATGAGACTCCTCTCCAATTAACTACCAAAAATGCAGGAAGTAGAGTTGTGGTTTAAGTGGAGTTGTGGTTTAAGTGGTAGAGCTCTAGTCTTGAGCAAAAAGACTCAGGGACAGTACCTAGGCCCTGAGTTCAAGCCACAGGGCCAGCACAAAATTTAAAAGGAAGGAAGAAAACTTAATTATGGATTTTTCTTTCTCTCTCCCTCCCTCCCTCTCTTCCTCCCTCTCTCCCTCCCTTCTTCCTTCCCATTGTGGGGCTTGAACTCTGGACCTGGGCACTGTCCCTGAGCTCTTCAGCTCAAAGCTAGTGTTGTACCACTTGAGCCACAGCCTACTTCCGGGGTTTTTGGTGGTTTATTGGAGATAAGAGTCTTACAGATTTTCTTGCCCGGGCTGGCTTTGAACCGCAATCCTCAGATCTTAGCCTCCTGAGTAGCTAGGATTACAGGTGTGAGCCACTGGTGCTCCACTTGGATTTTTATTTCTAACGTTAGTTTTGAAACTTTGTTTTTTTTTTTCTTTTTTACTCTGTTGAAAACTACTGCAGTTTAAGATGACAACTGACTGAAATAATACTTTAGAAGTCTTTTATTCCTATAAAGGGCAAAAGCCAAATTTGGGGCCCAGTTCCTTGTCATTTTTATATAAGGGTATTTTCAAAGTGCACAATGGCTAAAGTCATCCTACACAGAACAATTTTGAGTTTGTGATACTAGTTTTTAAGTTTGGAGGTGAATAATGGCAAACCGAAGCACAAATCAACTTTGACTTAGGAATATTTGTCCTTCTTGGGCTAGGAATATGGCTTAGTGGTAGAGTGCTTGCCTAGCATGCATGAAGCCCTGGGTTTGATTACTGAGTACCACATAAATAGAAAAAGCCGGAAGTGGTGCTGTGGCTCAAGTGATAGAGTGCTAGCCTTAAGGAAAAGAAGCTCAGAGACAGTGCCCAGGCTGAGTTCAGACCTGTAGACTGGCTGTGTGTGTGTATATATATACACACACACACACACACATATACATATACATATATATATACACATACATATATATATACACATATATATGTATATATGTATACACAAACACACATATTTGTCCATCTTTAGAGTCATTCCTAGAGCTGAATTTCTAACCCTATCTACACTTTTTCTTCACTATTGCATTTTAATACTTGGAAAAAAAGCCTTATGGAACATTCAAACCAAACCACTACTGAACAGTGAACATTTCTCAACCTGTTCTTTTTTAACTTCAGGAACATTTAAGCTTACAATCGAATTCACTGAAGAATACCCGAATAAACCACCGACTGTCAGATTTGTCTCTAAAATGTTTCATCCCAATGGCAAGTATCTCAGTTTTAATACAGTATTTTAAGCTGTTACGATATAGTGCTATACAGAGAGCCACATTGCCTGTTTAGTTAAGTATTTGCTCTGTTTCCTGAAATGTGAACTTATTGGTACTGACTCATCTATTGCCATCTTTTTTTTGTTGTTGTTGTGGGGCTTGAACTCTGGGCTGGGTGCTGTCCTTGCACTCTTCAGCTCAAGGCCAATGCTCTATCACTTGAGCCACAGCACCACTTCCGGTTTTCTAGTGGTTTATCGGAGATAAGAGTCTCACAGACTTTACTGCCCGGGCTGGCTTTGAATCACAATCCTCAGATCTCAGCCTCCTGAGTAGCTAGGATTACAGGCGTGAGCCACCAGTGCCCAGCTTCTATTGCCATTTTGAGCTATAGTCCTAGCCATGAAGTAGGAAAGGTACTTTCCCCTTGATTGGAGTCTTAAGAGCCTCCTGGGTTTGGTGATCTTTGTCATTTACTTATTAAACAAAAATGAGGATGCAATTGGGGTTTTCTTTTTTTTTCCTTTCAGTCTTGGGGCCTGGGTGCTGTCTCTGAGCTTCTGTTTGCTCAAAGCTCTCCCAGTTGAGCCACAGTTTCATTTCTGGCTTTTTCTGTGATTAATTGAAGAGTCTCATGGACTTTGCTGCCCAAGGCTGGTTTTGAACCACTACCCTCAGATCTTAGCCTTCTGAGTAGCTAGTATTACAGGCATGAGTCACCTGCACATGGCTTGGGGTTTTGTTTTTTTTTGCCAGTCCTGGGGCTTGAACTCAAGGCCTGGGCACTGTCTCTGAGCTTCTTTTTGCTCAAAGCTAGCACTCATCACCTGAGCCACAGTGCCACTTCTGGCTTTTCTGCTTATGTGGTACTGAGGAATTGAACCTAGGGGCTTCATGCATACTAGGCAAGCACTCTGCCACTAGGCTACATTCTTTTAATGCTAGGGGTTTTCTTTTAATGCTAGGCCAGGTCAGTGTGTAATTATTTTTACTAGTATTTAAAAAAACAGTTGTGTATATCAGACTTGCCATGGAACATTTTTAAAAAGGAAATTCTCTGGCCTCATTCCACACCTATGAAAGAATCAGCTTCTATTGAGGGCCGGGCATATATGTTAGGAAAGTGCTACAGGTTTACAGGATTCTTTTTTTTTATTATTGTGAAAATACTGTACAGAGGGGTTACAATTACATGGGCAGGATAATGAGTAAGGTCTACAGGATTCTAACATGCCTTTTTTTCTAGTAGTAAGCTCAAAATGGCTTGCTTTTATAAATAGTTTATAGTATCAGATATTTTATATATTTATGCCAAGAATGAAACCTGGTGAATGCTGTGCTTTTATTATTTCAGATAGGAGACATAGTTTACAAATTTTGTGGAATGAACTTGCCATAATTCTATGGATAAGGGACCCTATTAGAAGAGAAGTAGGCTTTCCTGCAAAGTAGGGCTCATTTCAGAATGAGTATATTTTCTAGTTTTATACCAATCACATTGAATATCATCTTATCACACTGATCCACTAGAGCAGTGGGAACACAGTGAACTAGTAATATTTTCTTTAAATTTTGAAAGCAAAGTGTTATTTTTGTCTTAACTATATTCTTAGAAGTCTTATGTTTAACATACCTACTTCTGTGCTTTTAGTTTATGCTGATGGTAGCATATGTTTGGATATACTGCAAAACCGCTGGAGTCCGACTTATGATGTGTCTTCTATTTTAACATCCATCCAGGTGAATTTTTCCTTATTGTGACTGATCTTTTGTTTTGTAAAGTCCTAACTTGTTGAGCCAAAGCTTATTTTATAGATAAAAGTAGACCATTAATACCCAAGCCACTGGAAAATGTGTGTGTGTATGTGTGTGTGTATCTAGTCTACTTGGAGTTAAAGTCACATAGTATGCTAATGACATGCAGTTTAACTATTATATATTATCACTGGTAAAATAGCTGTTTGTTTTGACCATTTTTTTTGCACTGATACACTGACATTAAAATTTTTTTCTCTATAGTCTCTGTTGGATGAACCCAATCCGAATAGTCCGGCAAACAGCCAGGCCGCCCAGCTGTACCAGGAGAATAAGAGGGAATATGAAAAACGTGTTTCTGCAATAGTAGAACAAAGTTGGCGTGACTGTTGACCACAAGTGGAGTAAAAGAAGAGGCTGGTCATAAAAAATGTGTTTATCACATTAATGCTAATGTCATTACATTTACTTTACAAAAGCAAATAGCTGTTGTGCTGTTTCTGTCTTCCTTTGCCAAGCTTTTTCTGCCTCTCTACTATCCTTGTTGACATGAGACACTCTATGAAATCCAATGTACTGTACCTGGGTTACTTGCAAACATTACTAGTGCTTAACTCTTCTGTTGTGTGTCTGTAGCCTCCTGGGCAGTTACCTTTATTTCTGTGCTTTACACTAGGCTTTTAAAATGTTATGTTCGTGGCTCTGATGCATATTCTAATGACCAGGATTTACATATATATACATATATGTATGTATGTATATATATACACACACACATATATATTTTTTTTTTTGGGTGTGTGCCAGAATTGGGGCTTGAACCCAGGGCCTGAGTGCTGTCCCTGAGCTTTTTTGCTCAAGACTAGTGCTCTAGCCACTTGAGCCACAGCTCTATTTCCAGCTTTTTAGTGGTTAATTGAACAGGACTTTCCTGTCTGGGTTGGCTTTCAACCACAATTCTCAGATCTCAGCCTCCTGGGTAGTTAGGATTACACACATGAGCCACTGGTGCCTGGCTCAGGATGTCATTTTTAAGAAAATGGTTGCTCAAGTGTTTCATCCTGGCTTAGTCCCTTCTCTGTTAACATTTAGAAGTGAATGTGTTTAGAATGTGGCCTATAGGAAATGGAAATAAATCATATAAAACATGTTTTGAAAGGAAAAGGAAAACTAAAAATCTATGATATTAATATCTAATGGCATTTACTGGTGGAAGGCTAATGCTGAAGGACCTGGCTAAGGAGCAAAGTGATACAATAACATCTATTTGCAAGAAGAGGCTTCTGGTATTTTTTTAAATTTCTTTAAAAAAATTTATTATAAAGATGATGTACAGAGGGTTTACATTTTTTTTTCTTTTGAAAGAAGTATGGGAGCAGAGGAATGGACGCAATCATTAAGTTTTCGAGTTACAGAAAGTGTGGACAATTCTTTAATCCTTCTACAGGAACAGTGTTATAAACTTAAAATCCTCCACGTTTAGTTTTTTTTTTTTTTTTTTAGTTAACAAGGAAGGGAGCGTATTTGTGACAAACTATTTTCAACTCAAATCCTGAGTTACTGCTGCATGCTTTAGTTTATTCCCTTTCAATGCTGAGAAACTTTTTAAATCAATGTCTGCAATCTTTCTTTGGATATTTACACTTTTAGATACACAATACTGGACAAAACTTAAGTGTTTTGTCTAATTGCTTTTTATGCATTCATTGCTCTTTAGCTTTGCACAAGTAACCCATGTAAAAAAATGTACATTTTTCAAAAGTTGTAAATAAAATAACCTTAAAGTTTTGTCCTTGAGGTATAACTATATTTTAGCTCAGTCTGAACTTTTAGGACCATTTTTTTTTTTTGAGGAATCTCCTCTATCTACTTGCTTCCCCCCTTTAAATACAAAAAAATAATATCACCAGGAAGAGATAATGATGATAATGTTGGAAAGAACCATTTTTTTTCTTTTCAATTATGTGTTAACTGCTTTTTAAAAATCTTCACAGAAGCTGGGTGCCTGTGGCCCAGTGGCTCTTGCCATAATCCTAACTACTCAAGAGGTTGAAATCTGAGGATTGCAGTTCAAAGCCACCCAAGCAGGCAAGTTCATGAGACTATCTCCAATTAAGCACCAAAAATCCAGAAGTAGAGCTTTGGCTCAAGTAGTAGAACACTAGCCTTGAGCACAAAAGCTCAGGGACAGTGCGTAGGCCCTGAGTTTAAGCTCCAGGACAGGCACATACACACAGGTCTCTTAACAGAATATAAAATTATCAAACAAGTAGTGTACTGAAGTAGTATACATTATGGCCAGTCAAGGGAATGAAATTATAAAAGAACAATAAAACAGTGTCCTCCAAGACCAAAATTGGGTAGAGTGCTATCCTTAGCTGAAGAGCTGAGGGACAGCGCTCAGGCCCAGAGTTCAAGCCCCACGACTGACAAAAAAAAAAAAAAAATTGCAGATTATGACATTCTATGTAAAATTTTTTTAGTTTAAAAACTATCAAATTATTGAAAATGGCATTTTAACTCATGTGAAAGGTTTGGTAGTATGTTGTATGTTCTCTCTTATATGATCTTAAAAAAATGACAAGTATGGGCTGGAAAGGTGGCTCAGTGGTAGAGTGGTTGCCTTGCATGCATGAGGCCCTGGGTTCGATTCCTCAGCACCACATAAGCAAAAAGAAAAAAGCCGGAAGTGGCGCTGTGGCTCAAGTGGTAGAGCACTAGCCTTGAGCTGAAGAGCTGAGGGACAGTGCCCAGGCCCAGAGTTCAGGCCCCACGACCGGACCCCCCCCCCCAAAAAAAATGACAAGTATAATTTGGGGGAACTGTTTATGGGAAGTCAGCAGGAGAGGGGAGGGTAGTGAGAGTGGGGTTAACTGATCAAGGTACTTCTTGAGCATGTATGAAAATAAAATGATGAAACTTGGTAATTGTTTTAAGGGGAGAGGATGAGAAAGTAGTACAGGGTATTAATTTGATCAAGTATATTGCATGCATATATTGAACTATCAATGCCAACCCCTTTGTACAATTAATATATGTTAATAAGAGGGAAAAGGTGGGCTGGTGGCCTGGCTTCAGTAAAGCACCAGCTATGAGAAAGAAAGCCAAGCTAGAGACAAAGGTCCTGAGATTTAGGCCCTGGAAATGAGATTTAGCCAATGGAAATGTACTTAGAGGTAACTGTTACATATTCTGGTTCCCTTGTAAGCAAATTGACCTTTCAAAATTACAAGCTAGGTGCTAGTGGCTCATGCTTAAAATTTTAGCTACTGAGGAACCTGAGATCTGAAGATCAATTAATTAACCAGTGAAAAGCCAGAAGTGGAGCTGTGGTTCAAAGTGGTACAGTGCTAGTCTTGAGCACAAAAAGCTCAGGGACAATGCTCAAACCCTGAATTTAAGCCCCAGGATTGACACTACCAACAAAAATCCTTGGAGGATCTTCCTTCACTATTTTTTTGTCGATTGTGGGGCTTGAACTCTGGGCTTGGGCACTGTTCTTGCGCTCTTCAGCTCAAGGCGAGAACTGTACTGCTTGAGCCACAGCACCACTTCTGGTTTCTGGTGGTTTATTGGAGATAAGAGTCTCACAGGCTTTTCTGCCTGGGCTGGCTTTGAACTGCGATCTTCAGATCTCAGCCTCCTGAGTAGCTAGGATTATAGGCGTGAACCACCAGTGCCCAGCTTTTTAAAAATGACTATGAAAACAATCACAAAAATAGTTTGGGGGGGGCTACATGAAATTAAGTCCTTAGGATTCACATACCCACTCACCCTTTAAAACTGATACTTAAGGGAGTCCAATCTGCACTACACAATACTGGATCATTTCACTTTAGAGCCTTGTCTATTTTTTGTCTGTCATGGGGTTTGAACTCAGGGTCTGGGCACTGTCCCTGAGCTCTTTTACTCAAGCACTCTACCATTTCGAGCCATAAAGCCACTTCTGTGTTTCTGGTGGTTAATTGGATAAGAGTCTCATGGACTTTCCTGCCTGGGCTAGCTTTGAACTGCAATCCTCAGGTCTCAGCCTCCTGTGTAGCTAGGATTACAGGCATGGGCTACCAGTGCCTGGGCTAGGAGCCACTTCTTAAACATGCTTAGTATTTCCTCTCAAGTCCATTTCTGCTTCAAAATAGAACCCCATTAAATTAATTTTCATTTGGTGAATGAACTTTCTCATCCTACTGTGGCTACATACCTGAAACAGTGACACTGTTAATCAGACTTGGAAAATATAAGACGAGACTTGGGAAAAAGCATGCCTGGTAACATTTTATTTTGTACACCATTCCCAATCTCTTTAAGGGACTAATCCTTTTAAAACCTTAGAACAGAATCAACAAGCTGACATTTCAAGTTATAAGCAAATGCACCATTTACCATTCATTTGAGCATTTAATACTAATTGCCTTCTTTCTAATATTTAACCAGCACCACAGGATGCCTGTATGTGATCATTACAAGAAAGTTAAATAAGTTTTGCAAGGTTCCTTCAGTTCTGTACCTGCTGATGTGGAAAACGATACATGCTGTGGAACTGAAGTTCTAATCATGACTCCTTTATTTAGGACCCATCTTGAGTTGTGAGGGTCACTCACAGAAAAATGAATGCATCTTAACCACGCACACACAGAAACAAACAAACAAATTCCTATTTCCATTCACTTTGCAAAATGGAAGGAAAAATCCTTAAAGTAGATCTGTGAGACTCTCTATACATACACATATACACTATGTACAGTATATATATACATATATGTGTATAGTGTATGTATTAGATATATATGTAGTATATATAGTATATATAAGTAGCATTGAGTTACATATCTACTTTTAGATCTGTATGTACTTTTATTTTACTGTCACACTAGGTGCTGGTGGCTCCTGTCTTTAATCCTAGCTACTCAGGAGGCTAAGATCTGAGGATGGCAGTTCAAAGTCAGCCTGGGCAGCAAAGTCTATGAGATTCGTATCTCTAATTAGCTAGGAAAAAGCCAAGATTTTTTAAGCAGAGTTAAGTGACTTTGATCTAGTTCTGCATCAGTATGGAACCTGATCCACAAAGTTTAAAAATCTGGCCCTTCAAAACCAGGAACCAAATTCATATACGCTTGATCCAGTTTGAGCCTTTTAGTAAATAAGTTGTTTTCTAAAGCTCATCTAAAATCCAATTTAAATGTAACATTTCTCTTTTTCCTCCAAAAAATCATTTTGGGAAGAGGATATGTAAAAAGTCACTTTTTCTTTTTTCCAAACCAGGGACTTGAACTCAAGGCCTGGGCGCTGTCTCTGAGTCTGTTTTCAAAGGCTGGCGCTCAACCACTTGTGCCACAGGCGCCACTTCTGGCTTTTTCTGAGTAGTTTGTTGGAGATAAGAGTCTTACAGACTTTGCTGCCTGGGCTTGCTTCAAATCAATCATCAAATCTGAGCTTCCTAAGGAGCTAGGATTACAGGCATGCGCCACTGGTGTCCCGCTAAA